GTATTTGTCAAGTCAAAGGTCGCTGACTTTTGACATTCGCGTAACCTCCAGGCGGTTACCCTAACCTCCGAGGGTTGACTCGCGATGCTTCGATTTGGACTGCTTCGCTTGTGTCCTGAGTTTCGACACGACAGAGGCGCTTTAAGACTTATTGTTCCCAACACTTAGGAGGGGGGTAGTGTTACGGGGTACTTTACTGTTCAAGGGCTAATCACCCTAAACAGTGTTCCGAACCCCATCCCAAACTTATCCTTTCAAATTTCCAGGATTTCCAGCATGCCACGTGGCACTCTAGTTTTCTTGCATTCCCATTCCTAGTCCCACAAACTACTTTTCGACAATTGCTGTTGCATACTATATCAACCTTGCTTGTATTCGCTAATATCATTTAATCTTCAGTCAGTTACTTCTTCACATATTTCGCTAAGACTTCCTCCACCAAAGTCTTCCGCCGCGTTTTTTCTTCAATATATTCAGCCCCGCTATTCTTTAGCGGATTTAGGCCAAGGGGCCTAACAAATATAATGTATTACATTTCCGAAATGAACGACCCTACACCCCACCTCATCCCCAGCGCCTTCCGCGGTGAAACGCGTTCTCAGCTGAGCAGCAAGGACGTGTGGAAACTAGCGAAGACGGTCAGAAAGCAGGTTACGTCTGTCGCAAGTGTCGTGACCTACTTTCTTAGGCGCAAAAACAAAATTCGTTCATGTTCAAGTTTTCGCTGCTCCATCCTCAACTTCATCGTCACCCCCTCTCATCCGCTTGTGCAGCCCTCCGTTTCTCCCGTTGCAATATTCCATGTCGTTCCTTCATCGCGTTCCACCCATCGACCTCCGCGCATCCCGCTCTGCCCATCGACCTCCGCCCATCGCGCTAATGCATTTGCGCACCCATCGGGCATGGCTCGAGCGAATGCACGCCGATGGGCCTCGCCTCCGACGACGGTCGCTGCTGCGCCACCTCGCCGCCCCCCGCCCTTCCGCCACAAATTCCTGATGCATTATTGCGGATAGCCCGCCACGAGTAGTGTTGTGCCCTTCGCGACTCGCTCTCGCTACTCGCTCTCAGCAAATAAATCGCCTATGTGCGTCTTAGCACTCACAGTTGCACTTCTTCTCCTTCCCTTTCACCGCCTCTCTCACCTTACCGCGTCTCGCTCCTCCTGTCGATCGCACCTAGCTCATTCCTCTCAATCGCTCGTAATCCAGCACCAGGTATCACCGCCGGCACTACAACACTTATTCACGAAGGTTCGACTCTTCGGCGCGCGGCTGGAAAGAGGTTGAAGCCCGTTCGCCGTGGGCCTGCTTGTCGTCATGGCTCGCCGCGGACGGCCGTCTGTCGTTGGCGTCGTCGCACTCGTCGCCGGGCTCGCTGCGATCAGCCTCCTCGCGACCCACGCCAGCGCAGGTGAGCGCCGTCGTGCTCCCACTATCGCCACTCCCAGTGACTCGCGTTCACTCTTGCTCGCTCATCCGCTTGATTTTGACCACTCTTTTGGTTGCACTCGTTCTTACAATGCTCTTGCTCCTTGTTTGTGGGTGGTGTCGGAAAGTACGTGCGTGAGTGTTGGGGTGCGCGTGAGCGCAGCGCAGGGGTGTGGGTGAGTGCAATTTCTTACCTTTCCAACCCGCCTGCTCTGCTTCATCTCGAAACCGCCTCGACTACCCTGCAGACGCGTGTGCCACCGTGGATTGCGGGTCAGTCGCCTTCTGCTCTGCGGCCGATGATGGCAGCACGGAGTGCCTGTGCGACGGGGGTTATGTCTTCAACGTAACAGACAAGACATGCAATGGTGAGTGGTGGGAGTGTGGCACTGATGCACTATCGGCTGCATGGCTGAATGTCTCAGTGAGCTGCCCGTCGCCTGCCCAGAGTTTACAGCCACCTGCCATTCAGTATCTTTTGCTCCTTGACTTCCCCCCTCATTATTACTTCCACCCTCTCCTTCCCCCCTCATGCCCGTGGCAGATCCGTGCGCGGATGTGGCGGTGCAGTGTCCAGCGAGGGCGGAGTGCGTGGCGAGGAGGGGCAAGGCGGAGTGCGAGTGCGAGATGGGGTACATCCTGCAGAACAACACCTGCACTGGTGAGACTCAACCGCCTCCACGCAATCACATCTTCCCCACGTCTCACGCTTCAACAACAGTAACCCCTGAGAAGCCCCCCTGAGAAGCCCCCCTGAGAGGCCCCCCTGAGAGGCCCCCCTGAGAGGCCCTGAAACATCACGCGCCTCATCCATGTTCGCTTCCGCCCCTCATTTCCCCCACACCCCACCCCACACCCTCTTGCCTTTGCATTCCGCTCTCTCCCCCCTCTGCTGCAACAACTCGACGGCACTGAATCCTGGGCATCACCACAACAACAACGTGCGGCGCCCACGGTGCAGATGGGCTGCTGCAGACGCAGGTGGAGGTGGAGGGGCTCACCTACCTCGCGCTCCTCACCTTCGAGAGCCCCGTGCCCATGGCGCACGCCACTGGCGCCATGGCGTGCAGCGACGTGGGTGATCTGGGCGGGGGCAGCAGCACGCGGATCAAGCGTGGAGTGGAAGTCGGTTGGCGTGGACACTGTGGGCACCGGCATGTGCAAGAGCCTCTCGTTTCACTCCGACCCCGGCTGTGCGGACAAGGCAGGATTGACCATCGCGCGCCCTGCCATGGTCGGCGGTGCCTTCCCCGTCACAAAAAGGTGAGCGACGGCACTGTGGTTTTGTCTGCTGTGCTGCTTGTGTTTCGAAGGAAGCATGCCAGTCAGTAAAGTTGTCTTGTTCAACGGTGTCCTCTGTGGTGTGCCCTCCCCTTTGCGCCTCACTCGCAGGACTGTGAAAGCAACCCCACCGCAGTCAATCAGCTGTGAGATCGGTAAGTGCGAGCGCAGAAAACTTGTCCCGGGCACATGCGCATAGCCCTTGGAGTGTCTTCACCGTCACTGTGAATGCAGCAAGTGCACATAGGCAAGGAGGTTCAAGCACCTTCACCTCTCTTCTGGTTAAGCAAGGTGAACACACAGGCACTGCTCTCTGCACTCGATTCGCTGCCTCCCCATTCCATAGATGCCTCACGCCCGCGAGAAACCTTTTTAATTTGTCCGGGCCGCAGGCGCATAGTTGTTGGAGTATCAGCACCTTCACTCTGAACGCATGAAGTGCACATTGCGAAGGAGGTCAGGCACCTCACCTCGGGTTCCGAATAGTTGGAGACACGCACAGCTCTTTGCACTTGATTCTCCGCCTACCCGTATCATGCCATGCCTTATTGACCCCATTCACCCCTTCCCCCTACATGCCTGGCTGGTGCGGTGCTGTCAACAACAGCCACGTGTCACAAGGACTGCGGCACTGCACAGTGCGTGGTGAGGGACGGCGTGTCTGAGTGCAAGTGCCCCTGGAGCCAGGTGTTCGACGAGGCGCACAAGCGCTGCACCAGCAAGTCGCCCGGCCCCACCCCTGGTATGTCGCTCTGTCTGCTATTGCATGTACCCAACGACGAGTAGCTGCCCCCATCAGCCGTCCTTGTGTGCAGGCAGAAAGATTGACTCCCCAGGCCGAACCTCCTTCCAGGAAGGCCGAACCCTCCATTGAGAAGCCAGGCCGAACCTCCTCCATTGAGAAGCCAGGCCGAACCTCCTCCATTGAGAAGCCAGGCCGAACCTCCTCCATTGAGAAGCCAGGCCGAACCTCCTCCATTGAGAAGCCAGGCCGAAACCTCCTCCATTGAGAAGCCAGGCCGAACCTCCTCCATTGAGAAGCCAGGCCGAACCTCCTCCATTGAGAAGCCAGGCCGAACCTCCTCCATTGAGAAGCCAGGGCCGAACCTCCTCCATTGAGAAGCCAGGCCGAACCTCCCACAAATAATCAACATCTCACTCCATTCCCGCCCCCACCAACGGCCAGACCCAAACCCTAGCGGAGGCGCGGCCACCCGTGTGAGGCAGTGAAGGTGCGAGGAACTCGCAGTGCGTGGTGAGGAAGGGCAGCCGTGTTGCGAGTGTGATGCTGGCTACACCAAGGCCAACAGGGCCTCTGCACTGGTGAGATCTACAAGGGTTCTGTTATTTTTTCTGATTGTCTCCGCACGAGCTCCAGAGGCAGCCCCACACCTAGAGGCAGCCCCACACCTAGACGGCAGCACATGAAATCACAGTGCTTCATGTCAGCCCAGCTTGATGTGTGTGTTCTGTGTGCTATTGTGTGGCGTCCTCTTGGCCCTCACACGGGCGCTCCTTCCTCCTCGTTCTGCTGCCCCACTCAGCCTCATGCTTCTTTCCCCTCTCCTCCACGCACACCATCGCCACCACACCAGCTATCTGCCAAGCGGACTGCCCTGCCAATGGCCAGTGCGTGGTGGTGGGAGGGAAGCCGTGTGTCGCTGCAAGGCGGGCTTCCGGCAGGGCAAGAGCACGTGCACACGTAAGGGCAGAAGGGCGAGGTGAGGAGCGAAGCCCCCATTGTATTGTGCAGCGAGGGAGAGCGAGCCCCCGTTGTATCGTGCAGCGAGTGATTCAAGCCCCCGTTCTCCAACCGCTCCACTGCTCATTGTCTTTCCCTCTCATCATCATATTGCCGAGGAGAGCTGGTGTCTTTCGCCACCATGAATCGTTCTCATTCCCGCCTGCTTGCTTGCCACCATGCGGTGTTCCATCTCGTTGGCCTCTCACCTCCAACCTTCCCATCTCTCCCACCCGACCCACCCGTCTGACAGCTGTGTGCAAGCCTACCTGCGGTGCCAATGCCCAATGCCTGGCGGTTGAAAGGGAAGCCGGCGTGTCAGTGCAGCACGGGATTCAATGTCCATCAACAACAAGTGCACTCGTAAGGCGAGGACAAATGTGCTATCCTCGTGTTTGTGTCACTCCCATAATTTCCACCTGCAGAACACCACGCAGTGAATGAAGCTTTGTCATCTGTGTTTGCTGCGCTGTAATGTAATCCCTCGGCCCTTCCCCGCTCATCCACCATCCTTCCCATCTCTCGCACCCAACGCACCCATTTGACAGCCGTGTGCAAGCCTGGCTGCTCTGCCAATGCCCAGTGCATGGCGGTGAAAGGGAAGCCGGCGTGTCAGTGCAAACGGGGTTCAAGTCAGTCAACAACAAGTGCACTCGTAAGAGAGGGAGATTGCTCTTCATTTTCTCTTCCATGCCTGTGAAGCTCCAGTGAAACCCATGCTCTTCCCTCTCTTCCAAAACCTTACCACCCACTTGCAAACATATGCTGTGTATGCTGCCTCTGCTCGATTCCCTTCATCTCTTCCTCACTTTTACTTTCATTCTTCCCCTCTCTCTCACCCCCCCACCCACCTCACAGCCGTGTGCAAGCCTGGCTGCTCTGCCAATGCCCAGTGCATGGCGGTTAAGGGCAAGCCGGCGTGTCAGTGCAGCACGGGGTTCCAGCTGGTCAACAACAAGTGCACTCGTAAGAGCGAGGGAGACGCGTATGCTCTCGCGATATTTCTCTCTTCCATGCGTGCCCAGCTCCAGTTAACCTCGTGCATGCGCTTCCCCCCTCGCTCACAACCTCTACCATCACAACCGCCTTGCATCCTATTCTCGTTGACCCACTCCTGCACCGCCCTTGTGCTTCCTCGTTTCTCTACGGTCTTCCATCTCCATGTAGTCATGCCTGGACGGCATTCCATTGACTCTCATACTGCTCTTCGCTTCCCACCACCCATCCACCCACTCAGCCAAATGAGCTGGATCCGCGTGAAGGCGATTCAAGGCTTCAATATGTGCTCTCAAGAGGCCGTGTTACTCAACAGCAGAGAAGAGGTGCAAGTGGCTGCATGTGGTGTGGTTGCTCGGAAGGCAGGAATGAAAGTTAGATGGCGGTGTGGAAGACCAGTGTAGGGGGGGGGGGAGGGGGGATTTTAAAGTTTCTGTATTGTGCAATGATTATCGTCTCGTGTACATAGACTTCAATTCTTCTTTGCATGTTACGGTATGTTCTCTGTTTCTAATTATTCGCTCCACGTCTCCCTTTGGAACAAACAATGTAGCGATGGTGTGAAAAGGCAAGAAATAATTACTGGCTGATGAGACCTGATAGACTTCTCATCACAGTGGCCTTGTATTGTAATGTGTGCACGAATAGTTGGAGGCGAGGAGACCTCGGTTGGTGTTGGGCAGAGAAAAGCCCTTAGGATCTTTCAAGGTTAAGACCCTGAGTAGGAATGTTTTAGTTGCGAAAGCGTTCTTATTAGTGAACTTGTTGAACCAACTTGCACTAGTGTGTGAGAGCAAGAGATTGATTATACCAGGGCAATACAAAGGTTTATTTATATGATTACAAGGAATATGAAAAGGTGCATCTAACTGTTTTGCTGTTGCGGTTCGATACAGTAACGACTCGAGCAACTGCTCAATACCGAGTCAGTTGTTTGTCCTTGCTGTCGCGCTGTACTTTGTCGAGTCAAAGGTCGCTGACCTTGACCTTCGTGTAACCTCCAGCTGTTACTTTCTGTCAACCTCCTCGGTTGACTCGCCGTTGCTCCACTGTGATTCGCCTCATTTGCAGTCTATTGTTTCGACACAACAGAAGCGTTTAAATTACTTGTTTCCAACACTCCCCTTCGCTTCTGGAGTGTCGATGCTGATGACGTGGCCTTGTCCAGTCAGCACCATGCAATACTCGAACTTCTGCTATCCGAGTTTCTTGGTCAAGTAATCGGCTGCCATCTCGGATGTGGGACAGTAGGATAGCTTGCGTTCTCCCCTTCTCGATTCTGCCTTTTACGAAGAAGTACCGGAGGACGATGTGTTTCGTTCGATTCGCGAACCCGTTCTTGTTCGCTATGCGAATGGCCGATTGGTTGTCGCAGAACATGGAGAAGCTGGGTACTGAGCCAGCTTTGCTTCTTCCAGTAGTTCGCGAAGGTACAATCCTTCCTTGGTGCCTGAGCAGAGTGCGATATATTCTTCTTCAGCTGAGGAAAGAGCAATTAGTTCTTGCTTGCTCGACTGCCACGAGATGGGCCGATAGGTTCGAGTCGGTAGAGGTAGTTGGTGCGCGATCGCTGTTGTCGGAGTCGCCGGCGTGATTAGCATCCACATAACCGATTAGCTTGTGTGTCGTAGTTCCGGTCTTGTGGTAGGTTAGACCGATCGTCGGGGTGCTGACGAGGTAGTGAAGTGCATGGTCGAGCTCCGCCATGTGATTTGCTTCAGGTCTTAAGGTAGGTGGCGAGTGGCTAGCTGAGTAAGATAGGTCCGGTCGGCAGGTAACGCCTGCGAAGAGTAGACAGCCTAGCTTTCGTTGGTAGTCGCGAATGCCGGCGGATTGAGTAGAGCGGAGGCTTCCTTGCGATTTCCGTCGGTGTAACGATATGGTGTAGTGATGGTAGCTGGGGTTAGTCCGAAGCGTTTGGCGATGGTGTCGGCGTATTTTGCAGCGCTCAGATAGACGTGTTCTCCCCTTCTTGTATGTTGAGTCCCAGGTACTGAGTTACGGTAGACGAGACGGTAAGCGTGGGGTTCCACTGCAGCTCCCTTCGAACCAAGTCATGATGTCGTCAGTTGAGCCGATGTAGAGTAGGTCGTCTACGTAAACGATAAGCAGGATGTAGTCGGTCCCTTAGTGAGTCGGTACATTCCTTGGTCATGCGGTAGTTGGCGGGATCCGATGCGAATTAGTCGGGCATGAAGATACTGCTGCCACAGCCTCGGAGCTTGCTTGATGCCGTACAATGATTTCAATAGCTGACAGACTGATTGGGGTCTGTGTTAGAGCCGTGTGGTTGTTCGACGAAAATCTCAGCATCGACGGGAGCGTACAGAAAGGCGTTGGCGACGTCGATTGGCGGAGCTTCTTCCGCTTCATGGCGGCTATCGCGAGAAGAATCCGTAGTGAGGTGTGTCGGCTAACTGGCGCGAAGGTTTCGGTGAACGCACGTACATATTGGAGTTGGAGCTAAATCCCGCGGTGAGGTTGGCGCTTCTGTGAACTTCGCGTGGAGTTGGAGTCAACTGCTGCGCAGGAGTCGGTGGAGTATCGTCGACGAAAACTGGTGCCGTTGAAGGACCCGCGATTGGTGTCATAGTCGGTGTTGCCTCGGTGCTGCCGGCGTTGTCTCTGCTGCTGCGAGTGTTGTCTCTGCTGCTGCCGGTGTTGTCTCTGCTTCTGCTGATGTTTTCTCTGCTGCTGCCGATGTTTGTTGAATTGTCACTAACGCTCTCGTTCGTTCAGCTTCATGTATAGAGTGCGAGAGTACCAGAAGCCTCCAGGACTGAAGCCGGGGTCGAGATCTAGCGGGTGTGTTCAAGAGGTGAAATTGACGATGGCAGTCACTGTCGGCGGTGCCTTGGTCTGGAACGAAGTCAAGAACGAAGACATTGTTCTATTAGACTGCCTTGCCGATGTAGAGCCCACGTTTCCCGTGGTACAGCTTGAACTCCTGGGTGGTGCTGTCTGCTTCGAGATGAATTCCCTTCGCATTAGTTGATTGACGCTGAGTAAGTTATAGCCGAGTCCTTCTGCGATAAGAACCTTAAACATCTGCAGAATTACGTTGGTTTCTCGAGACTGAAGTTGAACTATCCCCTGTCGTGTCGTGTGCGCAGGTTCTGGTTGTTGGCGACGGTGATTACGACTTCGCGCTGAAGTTTGTGTTCCGTTGAACGAAGCGACCTGATGAGCACATGTGCTGTCCGCAACAGCTATCCAAGAACCAGGTGTCTTTCCCGGACGGCTCACTCTAGGCGATGGCTGCGTACGTCAGATTCGGCTCCAATGATTCATGGCGAGGGGTGCTTTCGTCGAGTGTCTTCTGGTGAGTAGTATGGTGGCGATCCGGTGATGCAGGAGTCTGTTGTTCTTGC